GCTCGCCATACCCACACAATTCTCCACAACAACTGATTTTTTCCCTGCTACACCCAGCTACGCTGCTTCACTTCTTCTTCTTCTTCTTGTTTACTACTGGTGGTTGGCTTTGGTCGCAGTACCGCCACCTTCTGCTCTGGAGTGTAAACGCTTCCTCTATGAGAAAAAGGAGCAGCGCATGAACCGAACGCAACACATGCGAACCGAACCGAGACAGTCGAACCGAGACAGTCGAACCGAACGGTTCCATCCCTAGTAGCCATAATAAATGGGGGATGTGATAATGATGACCTGCAAGAAAAATGGAATCGGTGCAACCACTTTTATCTAAATGGGGTCAATTAACAACCAAACATCTTCTTAGACTTAAGCCACTTTTATTGTTGTTTTACTATATACACAGTGTATACAAAACAAAATCAACCTGATCAATGTCCGGCTTGTTAAATCCACAGGTCGATATTAATGCATGTTGTTTGTTGTTCCTGTCTGCTGCAGGTGTCCTACTACTAATTGGTCAGATCGCTGACGCCATCTGTACTCCCCTGGTTGGCTATGAGTCAGACCAGACCTCTGGTTGTGCTAACTATGGCAAAAGGAAGACCTGGCATTTAGTGGGTAAGTCTGATACTGTCTGCAGTCCTACGTCACTTTGCCACAAGGTTTAGAAATGATTTACCTTTCTCTAGGAAGCCTTAAGGTCTGTTAATTTGCACCAGAGTTGTGATTCTTGTTTAAGGTATGGAAAACTACAGCTTTTATAGTTTCTTGACTTTCTCCTGCTTTGCCAGCTCAGCTGACTCTGCTTTACAAGGTCCTTTAATGACATCCGTTCAGCTTCAGCTGTCAGAGGCTATTTACTGGGCAGATGGCTAAAAGGAGAAATAAAAAAATAAAATCAATTAGAAATTGGAGGTTGTTCCTTTGGTGCCCAGTAAAACACTGGAGGGATCCACATTCACATCTTATTGGGAACCAGTATAAAGAACAAATAGGAGCCCGCTGTAGTTTTACTCTGTGTTAAGATGTTTTCTTTTTTTTAGCTCAGAGTTTTAGTTCGACGCCAAACTTTGATCCTTTCATTTTTATTTTTGCTGAAAGCAATTAAAACTGGAAACATTGATATCCATGTATAGCTGTGTAATTGAATGAGACACTGCTTCTCTTTCTGTTCAGTAAATATCAGGTGAATTAATTAAATTAAATGTAATTCTTATTTGTATTTCTTTGAATTACATTTAATAACTTAATTTGTAATTTTAAAAGTATTAAAAAAAAAACAGAAATGCATTATTATATATATTTTTTAAATATCAAGATGCAAAATGTGTTCATACTGAAAATATGGAAATTAATTAGGGCCCAGACCTTCTTCCATTTACTCCTGAGATAATATACAACATAATTGTCTGAAGCTAAGATGAGAAATAGTCTTTGAGGTTTTAATAACGAATAAAGATGATGTCAGGAAAAACATTAACAGGCGTCTCATTTTGAAAAACTTAAAACCAATCAGCCTGTATGATCTGACTGAATTTGTCTCAGTAAAGAGCCTTCAGATGATGTTATAAACTGGCGCTGAAGAAATAAAATTCATTGAATTAAAACTGAATGCACAGCACAAAGAAACGCTTAACGATGTGGAACGCCGCTGCTCCGAGCTCGGCATTCAGAGACGAGGCAGAGAGGAACATGGCCAGTTGGCATAGGCCATTTCCTGTCAGCTGGCTTTTAAAGGAAAATTCCGGTTTTTAACACTTTTAGCCCATTTTCTGTAGTGTCCAGGATGCATTCGAATGATCGACACCAAAATTTTGACAATTGGTCCTGTCTCTGCT